TCACGAATCTGTTCTTAACGTTTTTGCCTCGGGATTATCATCCCGGCGCTGCGGGTTGGGGCTCAACGAAATGCAAAAGTAAGACGTGAGCAATACAATGCGTATGGTAAATCGCGCAGGCGATCGTGCGTGCGAGCCGAGTGGCTTAATAAACGAGACAGGTGAGCGCGATGACGCGCGAGTTAAGTGGCATAAGTGAAATCGCATGAATGGAGTGAGAGGCGAAGAAAAGACGATTCAAGAGGCCGAGGTGGTATAATAACGACCGGCGATAAGCCGAGACACAACGAAAGCGACATTCACTTCCCGGTGGAATCCTTACGATTGTGGTCTGCGGCGCGACGCGACGCGACGCGACGCGATGTGATTCGCAGTTGTTATCCTATGTTGAATATACTATGTATTCCGGCAAGCGAGATTGCGGAGAGGTAGTTAAGCTGCACTTCTGGTTAGATCGCGACGCGGTATCCATTGTAAGGCTCACGTGGTTCTGCGATTATCCCTATGACCCGGTTGCAGTAATGTGGGAAGCCCGACAGTCAATCTCATCTTTAAGAAGACGGCATTTTTAAAAGCGCTATTAGTTCGCCGGATAGATTTATCTCGATGATACTTGACGCAAAATCAATTAAGTCGCAGACGATAAATCTGCACGTGGAGTCTCCCTTTCTAATCACGACATCGCCGGGTGTTGTGCGTGTAGGAAAAGTCTCATGTCGACGTCTCTCGCATATCCCCGCGAAGAAAAGTGACACGCCACGACGCTGTTCCGATCATTATGAAACACATGGGCAAATGTCTCCTATCGGCCAGTCGTGTTCGCAGCTGCCAATGAACAAGCAGTCGACCTCATTTCTTGCAGGCTTCATTTTTCTTAATCTCGCGACAATAGACCGCGCGGAAAAAAAGAAGTGCCCTTCGTCGCTCGTAAGTGAACGGCCGGGAGAGAAGGCACGTCGGGAGGTCGATGTGGGCACGGCCCGATGCGCGCAAAGGGAGATTACGGCAAAGGGACCAAATGGGGCGTCGGCATTTCTTCGCGTACGAATGTACGCGGAGTTATTATCGCCCACGTGCGCTAACTGTACGCGCAATTGAATCCCCCCCGTCTACCAGGGACTTTCTCGCGATGACGACAATGCTGAGCTCGCCCACAATCGGCGCTGTCTCTCAACGCACAGCTCAGACCTGTCTACCTGTTTGTGTCGGCATAAAGAACGAATCGTCGAAACCGACTTGTCGATCGCGCTCTGTCAAGTAAGAGACTCCCGGTCTGCGGATGGATACACCTTCTAACTTTGATTTTATATGTTTATGAAGAGCGACATATAAATGAAAGACGAATGTTTGAAGTTTTTCCCAATTTTCCATGTCCATGAAGAATGACGTGCACGAGAAAAAGAATCTCAGTTCGTGCAACCGAATAAGGACCAGATGAAAGTTTGACGAGAAATAATATTTCTGTTAAATCGCAAACATTCAGCTGTGCATCAAAACTTGCACGTTCATAAAGAGAGGCATACAAATTAAGAAAGGAAAATGCTTGAGGTTGTTGCGAATTTTACAGATTTTTATTCTAAGAAAAAATTTCGTTTAGGAACTTTATCGGGATATTTTGTATATCTTGAAATATTAAAATCACGACATGGAACAAACGGTGCTGAGATAATACAAGCGGTGCACGGCGCAAGACGCATAAAAAGGCGTGATTTATTAGGATTCCGCGATGTTAATGAGACCACGTTATCAAGTATTGATCAATGTAAAACGCGAGGTGAGCATCATAGTTCGCCTATCTTATCAGCTGGAAGAACGGGAGCTGTAATTTAAGCTAGTATGTGCCCGGAAAGTGCAACGGCACGGTGATGATCGCACTACCGGTGAAGAGACACTTCGTGATTCCGTAATTCCGTTAACCAGGTATCCTCGATCTGCATTCGTGACTGCCGTCCTTTCCTACCGGTTGGAAGTTAACGCCGCGAACACCGCGTCGCGCAAGAATTTATCCCGGAGATCCTGGATGCGCGCTCTGGAAGTACGCCTTGTTTCGTTTGTGCAACTCAACAATGCACTCTTATCGTTTTATCAGAAACTCACGTATCGTTGACGGTGGTACTCGCCACTTCGAAGAGAACAAACCGTGATTCTCGAACCGTCGACTCGTTATTTTCGCTCTTCTTGAAAAATAACGGCTAGATTAACACGCGCACAATCCTTCTTGATATTTATCGACGTAGCCGTACACGATTACTCTTATTTTTCCGAGCGCGCAGCGAAAACGCAAAGCAGACCGCGTATGTGTTTCACGAACTGGACTCGAGTGGACTGTAGGTGCGGAGCAAAGGCGTGGGTGTTTCAGCCATTATGTACCTGACACCGTGACAAGCTCGCGTGAGCCCCGAGGAATCGGTAGTGGAAAAAGGAAGAAGAAGAGGGCTGATATGTGTGGATGTGTGTGTGTGTGTACACGTGTGGATGAAATCGGCGTGGGCGCCGTTGGCCAGACCAACCGGTTGACCGCATCTCGAGGGTCATCGATTGCAAAATTTAGAACAATGTGCCTGACGACAGTCCTTTGTTATCCGACGGTTTCTCCATTTTACAGCTCCGCAGTTTATCGTGTCACATTGCATTTCGTGCTATGCCCCATCTCATTTTTACCGGTACATGCATTTCGTGTTGTCTTTATGCGATTCTGAACCCTCTACAGGATTTCGCTTATATTTGGTAATGGAAAGATAATATTATTACGTCAATTGGTAGTCCTTTTTAAGTGTCATTAATAATTATTTAAGACAGAAAACATCAAAGTCAAATCATTATTTAATAAAAAAGTGGAGAGAGAAACTTCTTTTATAAATATTTTTATTGAAATATACATTTTCAATACAAATGAATATCAAAATACAAATGAATTATCTTAAGAAAGACACGGCAGTGAGGCTCGACCATCACCTTGTTTGTTCTTGCGCTGTTAGAGTGATATTAGATTTATTCTTTATTTATTCTTTTATCACAAGAGAAGATACATTTGTATATATTTAATATAAGTATATTAAATTCACTCAAAACGCGAGAGTGAGAGAGAATTCAACCCATGAAACTCACTCTAAAATTCGAGTGACTCGACTTCATATTTCTAGCGAAATTTAACTCCGAGAAAGTTAGAAAGTAAAGCGACTCGGTTCGCGAAATATTGCTTCTACTCAAAAACCTCTATAATTTCGGTTGAAATTGGAAGACCTCTCAGTAATTTGAGGCTCTTTTTCAAAAGACAATAGTCTGCATAGGTCACTTTTGTGGAAGCTTCGTCTGTTGATCTTTCTAGTTTACAAGAATCTCTAACGTACATACAAAATTTTAGCTCGGGTATCTCTTGAGCAAAACTGATGCAAAGTGATCTATTACACGACGAGCGGTGAATCGAGCGTTATGCAAGCTTCTATCACGTCTATCTTGTTTCGATCGCGGTTGGGCCGCTCCCACCATTGATTGAGACGTCGATATCTATCGAAGGATTTATTCCGTTAATAGAAAATAGTTTCTGCGATCGACGAGAGCGACCGTGTCTGAGTTATTGAACTCGCAGCCGGCAATGCGAGATTTTACAGAAGCTCTTTTGTTCTTGGTAACCTTCGCGTGTTAAGCAATATGTGGCTCTAAATAAAAGGTTAGCCGTTTCGAAATTTGAACGATGCGCTTATGCACTATATTGACCACCGACATTGAAAATTAGCGAGTAAAGTAATATGCACGTAATAATAAATTTTTTTTATAAGTATATTAATTATCCATTGTGTGCTACGTAGTATCAGAAATGTCATAAAAATATGGACTTGCATATACAGAACCGGAGAATTGATTCTTGGACAGAGTGTTTAAAAAAAGATTTACAAATTCCTTGTACACCTTTATTTAATTTTATCGTTATGATAATTGTTTTCAGATTTTAATAATTAGTAGCTGTACAACGCACATGAACGCCATAAATTTCGAAACATATATTAAATGTCAAACAAATTTTAAATATGTGAAATATCAAATACGTAATATTTATATATTAAATGTTTATATTAAATATTAATATAAATAATTAAATATTATAATATAGTGTAGGATATTAATATTTTTTTAAACACACTTTTTAAACACTTTTTTAAAACACTCTGTCCAAGGATCAATTCTCCGATTCTGTATATGCAAATCTATATTTTTATGACATTTCTGATATTACATAGTACACAATGGATAATTAATATACTTATAAAACATTGATTATTACTTGCATATTGCTTTACACCCTAATAGAATACGTTAGGTAACTAGACCGTATAATGCCGTTTCCGCATGTTTAAATTTGTATTGTTTTGATGAAGGTCGCGCGACTTTCGGAACAACAACACACACGTATAAGTAGGTTCCGTACTCGAGATCGGAACAGTCTTTGACGCACGGGCGGAAACATCGGGCGACGTCGCGCGGTATTCCCGATTATTTTACATTTATCGGAATATGCGTGTATATATGTGACAAATTCGCGAGTACGATTATAGTGCCGGGAACCTCGTGAGCTGTAGATAGATTCTAATGTTTAAAAAGTAATTATTATCATACTCTATTTTTATTATAGTTAAAAAAGAGACACACGCGCACACTTTGTATTTCTGATATCCCTGTACTGAGTATCTTCGTATTCTTGAATTGTAGAAAGTAAGTAACCTGTTGCTAATTAACCTAATCTAACCTGGAAAATTGTATTTTTGTTTCAGATGTGACAAATGTCACGGTTACATCGCGAAGACAACTGTAGTTGCAGCCAGTATTGGGCATTAATCAATTTTTAGTCAAAATATCTTTGACTAAAATAGCCAATAGCCAGTCAAATATAAAAAAATTAATCAATCTTCATATATATATATATATATATATATAAAATCACAAATAATTTTATCAATTGATGAAATTAATTGTGATTAGTCAAACTTTGATGTATACGCTAATTAATAATCAAATTCATCAATCAATTAAATTATTTGCGACTACATAAATGACAAAATTGATTAATTTTGATCACTGATTTGCCGATTATTTTAGTCGAAATAAATTTTAATTGATTTAATTGAATTTTAATCGACTGGTTCCAACGGACGCGTGTGCTGTACCGGAGGATCCGGTTCAGGCAAGGCAGACTCGGTTTGAAGGTACGTTTATTTATAAAACTTTCTGTACCCCTTTGTCTAATTTTTTGCGATCTAAAGCTAAGATATAATAAACTATATAAATATAGCTCTTAAAGATATAACCAAGTGAATTTTATATAATTACTGTCTAAGCCAAGAAATAAGATGACTCGAATTATATGATCGCAGAAGGTTAATCTATATTCTTCCCCATTCACATTCATTGGTTAAACCAAACATTTAGATGTAATCAGACAATCTCTATTTTTTTGTTTCAGATGTGGAGAGAAACGTGACCGGCCTTGACTGCGAGTCGTTTCGGTGAGTAAAAAACAAAAGAAATCTTTGAGCGAATAGGCTTATAAGAGTGGTGGGATAATAACACTGTTACCTCGTAACCCACATGATCGCGAAGCTCATCTCACGATTTATTTCAATCGCGCAAGTCATTATTTAGATAACGACTGTGCGCCGTGCATGTCGTTATGTTTACGCCATTTATTGGCAGCCCCGAGCGCGCGACTCGCCTTTGATTTACGTGCTGCGTAACAATGGCGAGCCTTGGTGGGTAAAGTGCCATTAATTGACTATAACAAATCGTCACGGTCGTCCAGCAAGGTGCGATCCGCGCTCCGACTTCCTACGTGCTCGTGTTAACGACCCTGAGGAAGATCTATCTAGGCGATCGGTTCCGACCGATGCCTCCATTGAGGCGTCACTCTCGCGGAATAGGCATCGCGACGTTAATTGAGGTTGGCTCTTTTTAATCGAGCATCAGCATCGTTGATATCGGGCGTTAACAATCGGCGGGCCGGCCGCTGGTTAGATAACAGCAACGTCGACGGCGGTCCATTACAGTTATACAATGTAATTGCGGGCGGTTTTGCGAGTGTTGGCTGGATGGGAACGTCCGCCGAAAGCGGCGCTATTAGCCGACACGTCGAGAGACGCGCGAACGATTGCGGACGACTCTCGGGCGATCGCGGCATGAATGACTCGAGCGATCACGGCATGAATGATTCGTGATTCTCGCTTTTTCCTCGCCGGCACTTCATCCCCGACACTGTTTTGTTTAGTGTCACGCCGCGGCCATTGTCCTTGTTCAGCAACGTCACTCTTTTAAATTGCACCGCGCACGGCCGATAAACTTTTGCGGCCGATTCCTCCATTGTTCGTCGCTGAGATAAGACGACCAGCTTCGATGTTCTTTCGCTCTTCCGCGCACGCTTTTGCATGCCAGGCTGAACTTTCGGCGAGGCCTTTCGAGGTCCTCGTCGCTACTTTACGACGTCGCGTCGATATCGCTGTCACTGCGGTTATCGCGTTTTTTCACAAATAACGATGGCGGCGGAGTGACCGCCGCGGATACGCAATGGCGCGCGAGTAACGGTGTCGTGTCTCATTCGCGAAACATCTATCATTTTGAGACAAAGCTACACTTCCCGCTTGTCATATCTGTCAGCAGCCTGTCAAGCTCGGCGTTGCGCGCACTCCTTGATCCACTTTCTGGGCGAAAAGCGAGCGCGATACCCTTCTTAGCGAGTGATTAATTGGCCGAAGCCAGCCTTGCGACGCTCGACGAGACGATTTGCGCGTAATTATGCGGAATTCAAATGATCGACCATTGTTACGCATCAGTTAGACGGATAATATTGTTCGCTCTAATGTGCGTCGCAACCGATGCGGAAAAGTATCGAACCATCACGCCGAGTCAACGCGGATATATAATGCGACATACAGGTGTTTATCAATCGCATTATTATTTTTTTAATCTAAAAATCGTACTATTCGTACAAATTCCATGATATTTTCCAAGAAATAAATTTGATTATTCAGGAGTGTCAAGTTATACCCGAGGTACATGCAGAAAAATACTGCATGCTCAAGTGAATATTACTTGTTTCAAGTATTTCATAAGTTTGTATATTCGTAAATCTATCGCGTGAGAGCTCATCATGAGAGCATCACATTTATTTAAATTATAACCCGAATTCTAGTAGATTTAACATTTCTCAATCAGGAATATTAAATTGAAACCAAAATTTGGTTTGTTTACTACACAGTGTCAAGCCGACTTTTTTCCTTTGATCAAGTTTTATAACGTTCTTGTAAGAGAAGAAACTTTTCTTTTAAATGCATGATAATAAGCTTTTCTCAAATTTGTCGTGAGTATATTTTAAGGCTGTTTATCAAGAGAATTTTCTTTGCTGAAGATACCTATTGCTCATTAGAAGGAAGGTAAACTGAAATAATTGCTTTTCTCAACAGTAGAACACGATATTTTTCTCTGCATACGAATTAAGTGATTACGAAGCGAATATTATTCTTTCAGCGCCCACGCGCGCTCGCTCGCAAACGTGAGACCTCTCGTGCGTGCAAATTCCTTTTCGTGCGCGATCGACACGCGATCAGAGATTTACCTGGGAGAGGAAATATCGTTCTCTCCTCAGGTTCGCGACGACTAGCCCGTGAAATCGCCGCCGGTGCAAGAAATAAAAAAGAATCGCGCCGGGAGGCGTGCGCGCCGCGACGTGACGCGGATGCAGACATTATACGGCGACAAGTGAATAATTTTACGGTGAACGTGACTATAAATTAGCCAGGGCCGCGTGCGCGCGCGTCGCCGCTCATCTGCATAGCGTCGTGCCTTGCATCAGATGCGCGAAATCACGATCGATCACACGTATAACGCACTCTTTTATCACTCTTTCTTTCGTAAAACTTCTAAAAAGTACCCGTAAAATTCTCGTTAAAACTACTCGTGTCGAAGGCCTTAAAAAAAATTCGTAAGACTCTCGTCTAAAAACTCCCCGGAAAATTCCCCGAAGAATTTGCCAGGACGAGTTGCTGCAGGTAGCGGCGATTTTGTTTGCTTTGTAACCTGTCAAGTTGTACGCTCGATCGATTTGGGTATTCCGTAAACGTATCCCGTTTAATGACGATGAAGCATTGTAATGTCCGTTATTGTCCGTCTGCTCCTTCAGCGGTTAGGCTAGATCCTTTGGGACGAGCCGTGTCCGCAAAAGGCCGGCTAATTGCGGAAATGGCGATCAACATTCGCGCAAAATGACAGCTTAAGTAATAGACGTGCCGCAGTGCCATTCTGAAAACGAGCCCGATGTCGAGGAAGATATAGAGCGCGATACTTAAGGCGTGAGCATCATTACTGTAATTGTTCCGCGATTCGTTCGCCTGCAATCCCCATTTCCCTAAAAGGCTCTCCCGCTGGGCTACGATTGATATCCGTTTGTTAAAAATTTGTCGACGTTCGCAATTTTACTCGTTAGTTATTTTAAGAGGGTGCTGGAGTCAAAATCTTTAATGACAGAATACTAATTTTTTCCCCAAAGTTTACGTCGCATTGGCTATATAGAATCACAGATGCTCTTATACGCAAGAAAAACACGTGTGAAAATGAGTATTGCTTAATATTTGATAAAAACGATACAAAATTTCAAAGTTGACATTTTGAGTTTGACAAATTAGCCTATCAGACTGTTAGTGTTTTCCGCTAAATATGATAAAATAAGGCAACATATATATTTACGTCAAATTTATATGTACAAAAAATGCGGAAAGAATAGCGTAATCGTCTCTACGTTATCGATATTTTTGATGTTCATCATGGGCTCTATTAAGACCCTTAAGGTCGGAGTCGGTCTTTCAGAAGTCGCAGAGTGTAGATAAAAAAGAGCAACATACTATACACATAGTAGTAGTTTATGAATACTGAATTAGAGGCATTAATGATGTTTTGTTTGACTTTATATTAATATGTACGTACGTATATTAGATTTACATGTTAATATATGTATATAATATATATATATATATATATATATATATATATATATATATATATATATATATATATGTATTTATATGTTAATATATGTATATACATAGCTATTAACGCTGTTACCATTGACGCAGTAATTGTGTACATGTTAAATTGCTCTTTGTAGCTATATTTTGTGAAATTCATGTACGCAGTTTTCTTTGACATAGGATTTCTTTTCCTAAACTTCTAAACATATTTCTGAAGATTAAACGCTGTTTCTACGAGCAATCTGCAGTGCGTTATTTTCTGTTTTGTTCCAATCGTAGAGAACTTTGATATAATGTAGAAATTGTCTTAGAAATTCTTGGATTAACTTCTAGCCAACTTCTAAGATTTCTTTCGTTTTCGGCGAAAATATTGTGATAGCGCATTTAGGATGAGTAACTTAATCGTGCAAAAGCTGAATCGGTGCGATCAAAATGACGTGGAAACACAGTGGACTTTTACGGCGCGTCTCCATTCGGTACTCCAACACCTTCTCGACCCGAGATTTTCCGGCGTTCGCGACCCAAGATCGCCGACGTGAATGTCGAAGGTCCTTCACGCGAGTATCAAGGTCTTCGGCGGGGGTTCGAGGGTCGGAATAACAAGGGGCCGGGGAGGGAGGGGGGAGGGGGACGTCGGTTTCGTCGCGACAAAGAAAAAGTCGGACAGCCATACAAAGGCGCGCTAATGGCGAACGGGGGAGTAACGGTGGTGGCGATAGAAATTCATGAGGCGGACGTGGTGGAAGAGTGAAATTAATATCGCGAAGGGATAAAAAGATAAATGAGATTTTTAATTGGCCGGTGTTGAAAGACGCGAGACGAAGGGGGCCGAGAGAACACACACGCACACACACACACACACATATACACACACACACACACACGGGCGCGCGCGAGGAGGCGTCAGCCACCGCGAGAGAGGATCGCAAGCACGTGCACAGCAGACCGGCCGGTTTCGCGTTAACATGAAAGCAAAAGACCAATAAGGAGACGGAGGCAGGCGGCCGTCCGAAACCGACTTCCGCGAGTCCATTAACATTCGGCTCGCTCCCGATTAAGGACGCGGGCCGGCAGCGCCGGCCGGCGAGCAATTAGCTGGAAACGAGAGTCTAATTGAGGAGCCGATAGATACGGCCCGACAGCGATCTAATTAGCTCGGACGCGCCGCGGTGGTCGGTATCGCTCGAGCGTGCAGTCGAATTAGAGGTACTCCCGCGGGGAGTTAGATTGAGCGATCGCCGCGGTTTGTCAAGCACCTGCTACTGCTGCTGGATAATTGCCGGCTCGGCGATTCAATCGTCGCGATTCAGCGCGCCTGCTAAATAATATATGTGTACTTCGTGTACTCGCGGTTAGGAAACGAACGGATCGACCGGCGGTGAAATACTCGGAGATATCGAACGCCGATATCTATCGTCGACTATCTCGGGCTGTGACGTAAGAATCGGGGAAAGAAACGAGCAGAGTTTCTCACATGAGCTCAAGTGAGCTCA